GCTCATTCACACTGCCAGCTGGGCTGCAGGGAGCTGTGGTGGCGGGTGATGTGATGCGTGTTTCAGTGCATTATGGTTTCCTTTTTCTCTTTAACTTTGCTTGAAATGCACAAAGTGACACTTCATTCATGTATCCACAGAGCAGTGTTGGTGCATTGCACTGCTGTATGGTGACATGCGGTGTCTACCTGTGTGCTGCAGTAAAATGCAGCATGTCTACATGTATCACATACAATGTTAGTTCTGCAATACAATATGTTTACATGCTTGCTCACGGTCTTCCTTACAATGTACGCTAAGCCAGGGCTTAAAATTTCAAGTCCTAAGCTACTACCTAGGCCTAAGAGTTACTCGCCTCCAACAAACACACACAGACATGTACATACACACGCACAGAGACACATGTACACACACACACACAAATACAGACACATGTATACACACACACAGGCACGTACAGACAACCATACACACAGATACATGTACATACACAGAAATAGACGCACAGACACATGTACATACATACAGACACATGTACATACACACACGTACATATACGCAGATACATGTACAGATACACACATGTACAATTATACATGCATACACACACCCCCATAAAAAGTTTCAGTACTCCGTTGTTCACTCACAGAGCCAGGTACTGCACTCTAGGGGGAGGCAGAGAGCACAGCACACACTCCTTCCTTTGCTTTCACTGCACTCAGCTATTGAGCAGTCTGACGGCTCCCAGTGCCAATGACAGATCCGGCCTGAGCTCCAAGCCTGCTCAGCAAGACGGACGTGGGGGACACACTCGCCCCATCATAATTTCCACTCACCATTGGTGAGCATGCGAGTGGAAATTTCAAGCCCTGCGCTAAGCTGCACAGATCAGTTTACATTTCTGGCACAGATCCTGTGTGCTGGGGTGACTGCACTCCTGTGCATGTGCAAGGGTGACAACATCCCGCACTGACCAATGAAGATAGCTGCACCCAGAAAAAGCCAGGAAAAATATGCAGGCAAAGGATCTTGGACCCCTGACGGAGAGGTAAGTATTGCAGACTTTAGGGCTTGTCTACAACATAAGATGCATCCGAAAGTGCGCATGCATTTCTTTGCACAAGCCTGTGTGTTCCCATGTCGTGCGTTTTGGACAGTCCATTCATTTTAAGCCCATTTCAACAGGCTGTCCAATGTGCAAAGAGTGCAGCAGGCATGATTTTTAAAAATGTGCCACACCAAACTGCATGGCATTAAGGTACCACATGTTTTGGTGGCACGCAAACGCACCCACAGTTGCTAAATGCGTGAGTGTGCCATTAAAATCAATGGCACCTGCAAGCATCTGCAGAAAGCGGCGTCTTTACGTGTGGCGTGGAAAAGCACATGTAATAGTGTGAACAAGTGCTTAGGGTAGCAGAAGTAAGAACTACCTGAATTTGTTGCAAGTGTTGGCTTACTGAGACTGGTGCAAATGTTTGCATGAATTAGGTGCAAGCAAGGGTTTTCTCGGCTTCCCTGAACGCCTTTCTCCTGGCAAGAGACAAAATTCTGAAAAAAAAAAAAAAAAACGCACCTAATGCTGTATTTTACACGCACAGTTAGGCATGTCAAGTGTTTGAGCGTTTATGGATTTAATTGGACAGAATAATGTATTCTGGTCATTGGAATGAATAGATGCTCACGTACAAAAAGCACCTAGAATTTAGCCGCATCAACCCTTTTCTCTGTGGAATTGCTCCTTTCCTGAATGTGCTGGTAATGTTTTTTTTTTTCTGTGTGTAAACGCCCCTCTTCTAATATGCCTGCACGTGCCTGGACACATAGGCTAACATAGAGGTGTGTTAAGTTGTTACTAAACCCACATCAGTAAAATCAGTCTCTATATGCAGTAAAGCACGCTTGCTATACTCACTGTGGAACCTAAGGGGTTAATCCTCTGCAATGTGTAAAAAAAAAAAAAAAAAAAAAAAAAAAGGCTGTTCGATCCTGACTTCTCTGTTCCTCCCCTTCTTCTACTGTCCCCAATCCATCTGCTGATAGTACAGAACTCTAAGAGTCACTCTGCACATGCTGTTTGTGTGTATTGCTAGAGAGGTTTTTTTTTTCTTTGGGAGGGTGCATGTGATCAGCACAGAGCCAATCAGCACTGTTAGGACAGAGGGTCAGGTGTCATGCAGCCTTATAGGACAGTCAGAGGAGAATGAAACTCCTCCTACAAGATTAACCAGTGCTTTGCTGGACACTGATAGAAGTCACAAGACTGCTCTAACTGCTAATGAGAAAAGGTATTTAGCAGTTTATATTTACTAAAATAATTGCATATCCATGTTGTGTGTACTGTGGGAGACCAGATATAGTGAATGCAGGGTCCTGGGTTTAGTAACACTTTAATTAATGTTACTAAACCCACAACAGTATAATCAGTCTGTATATGCAGTAAAGCATGCTTGTTCTTCTCATTGTGGAGCCTAAAGAATTAATCCTCTGCATTGTGTAAAACCGCTGTTTGATCCTGACTTCTCTGATCCTCCCCTTCTTCCAGTGCCCCCCCCCCCCTCTTATCTCCTAATAGGACATATTGTGCAGAGTCACTCTGCACATGCTCAGTTTGGTGTATATTGCTAGAGAGCTTTTTTTTTTCTTGGAAGAGTGCATGGGATCAGCACAGGGCCAATCAGAACTGTCCAGACAGAGGTCAGGGGTTCTGCATCCTCCTAGAGCAGAATGAAAACTCCTACAAGCTTTGACATGTGCTCTGTTGAACACTGATAGAAGTCACAAGACTGCTCTAACTGCTGATGAGAAAAGGTATTTAGCAGTTTATATTTACTAAAATAGTTGCATATCCATGTTCTGTGTGAGACCAGATATAGTGAATGCAGGGTCCGGGGTTTAGTAACAATTTAATTAGTGTTACTAAACCCACAACAGTATAATCAGTCTGTATATGCAGTAAAGCATGCTTGTTCTCATTGTGGAACCTAAGGAGTTAATCCTCTGCATTGTGTAAAAACACTGTTTGATCCTGACTTCTCTGATCCTCCCCTTCCTCCAGTGCCCCCCTCTTATCTCTTAATAGGACACATCGTGGAGTAACTCTGCACATGCTCAGTTTGGTGTGTATTGCTAGAGAGCTTTTTTTTTCTTAGGAAAAGGTATTTAGCAGTTTATATTTACTAAAATAGTCAAATTACCGTATTTGGTGTACTGTGGGAGACTTGATAGTGAATGCAGGGTCATGGGTATAGCAACACTCTAACAGGCAAGAAAAAAAAAAAAGACCAAAGCCTGTAAAAATGGCCTATGTGGATGTATGTGAATGGGCCCTTAGGGAACATATGCTGCACCACAGCTAGATTCAAGAACCCCAGTGGGGGATCCCATGATCAGCAGCAAGTACCATCCCCATTGAAAACAATGTGAGGATACCACTTCACAAAGCTAATCGCAGCACTGGCATTGTAAACATTCATGCAGCGACCACATGCAAGTGGCTGTCTCTGGACACACACAGGGCCGATCTTTCGCTTGTGATCACTGCAAGAGCGATTACCTGCAAATGGGCGCACTGAGCTGCAGAAGCCAGCATTCTCCCATGGCTTTCAGTGGGGTTGCCTCTTGCAGCTAATGGGGGATCCCCTGCCGGGGTTCTTACATCTAATCATGGAGCAGCTGGGCTCCCCTGATGCAGACGGTCACTAGTAGGCAGGCAGACAGCACACTGGAGAGAGAGGTCAGCTGTGGACATGCTGTCATAACACAGCCATCCTCCTCATAGTGGAGGGGGCAGACATCCATCATACACAGTCCCCCCCTGTGCTGTGTCTGGTGTCAGGCCCGGCTCCTCTCTCCTCAATGACCCCCACCTGTGAACACACACCCGCTCCGGGCTGTAGTCAGCTCCCCTCAGGGTACACAGGCAGGAAAGTTCTGTCCTCTCAGGGGGGGTGTTATACCCGCAGTGTTATACAAGGAGCACACACCTCACATACACAACACAAGGCAGAGGGCTGTCCTCCCACCTGATAAGGCCGCTCTGAAGCACCGATCTCTGCTGATCACCAGCCCGGGGCCTGCTTCCTCCGTCCTGCCTGTGTTGATGCGTCTTACACCCGCTGCCTGCGTACTGCGAGCCGATCACTCCCCCACCATCACTAATGCCACAGCTCGGCGCATGCCCAGCCCAACCCAGGAAGCGGCCATACTGGGAGCCCTGGACGGATCGGGAATAGGTTCCATTGCGCATGCGGGAGATGTCTTGCTTGGCCATGTGACTTCCCTTCCTGCTCTACTTGGCAGCCCGGCAGATCCTGTTGTGTGGCCTGCAGAGTGGTGGCACGACTCAGTGGGATGGCGGCACTAAATATACACCTGTGACAATAATAATTAAAATACACAGACACATATATATCCGTTCAGTCGTATCCAACCCTTGGTGATTGCATGAACTGTCACTAGTAAGAGACTTTTGCAATGAATTCTGTTAGCAATTATTTTTATAGGGTAGGTTGTCAGGTCTTTCCCCAACCCCTACCATTCAGGAGATCCTGCATGGCCAGGGATGAATCTAGGACCAATTAACCTACCAGCATGTCTTTGGAGTGTGGGAGGAAACCAGAGCACCCGGAGGAAACCCACGCAAGCACAGGGAGAACATGCAAACTCCATGCAGGAGGCACCGTGGTCAGGAATCGAACCCATGACTCATTTATTGCAAGGCAAATGTGCTAGCCACTGTAATATATATATATATATATATTATATATATATATATATACACTATAGTCACATATGGCATAGTTACTAAACCCAGGACCCTGCATTCACTATGTCTGGTCTCACACAGTACATAGAACATGGAAGTGTAATTATTTTAGTAAATGTAAACTGCTAAATACCTTTCCTCATCAGCAGTCAGAGTAGTCTTGTGACTTTTATCAGTGTCCAGCCCAGCACTGGTTAAAGTTTGTAGGAGGACTTTTCATTCTGCTCTAGGAGGATGCAGAACCCCTGACCTCTGTCTAGGCAGTGCTGATTGGCCCTGTGCTGATCACATGCACTCTCCCAAGAAAAAAAAAAAAGCTCTCTAGCAATGTACACTAAACTGAGCATGTGCAGAGTTACTCCACACGATGTGTTATATCAGGAGATAAGAGGGGAACACTGGAAGAAGGGGAGGATCAGAGAAGTCAGGATCAAACAGCATTTTTACATAATTCAGAGGATTAACTCCTTAGGTTTCACAATGAGAAGAACAAGCATGATTTACTGCATATACAGACTGATTATACTGTTGTGGGTTTAGTAACACTAGTTAAAGTGTTACTAAACCCAGGACCCTGCATTCACTATATCTGGTCTTCCACAGTACACAGAACATGAAAGTGTAATTATTTTAGTAAATATAAACTGCTAAATACCTTTCCTCATCAGCAGTTAGAACAGTCTTGTGATTTCTATCAGTGTCCAGCCAAGCACTGGTTAAAGCTTGTAGGAGGAGTTTTCATTCAGCTCTAGGAGGATGCAGGACCCCTGACCTCTGTTTGGGCAGTGCTGCTTGGCCCTGTGCTGATCACATGCACTCTCCCAAGAAAAAAAAAAGCTCACTAGCAATACACACCAAACTGAGCATGTGCAGAGTTATTCCACACAATGTGTCCTATCAGAGGAGGATCAGAGAAGTCAGAATCAAACAGCGTTTTTACACAATGCAGAGGATTAACCTCTTAGGTTCCACAGTGAGTATAACAAGCATGCTTTACTGCATATACAAACTGATCTTACTGCTGTGGGTTTAGAAAAACTTTAAGTTTCAAGCACCAGGCAAGCTTTGTAGGTGTATGTGGTACAGGTTGTCACCTGGTGCTTGGAATTTCTATGCCATATTTGTATATAGTATATATTATTTAGTACAGGTATTTATATAATGCAGACAATTTATGCAGTGCTGTACATTCATATCAGCCCCCGTCTTCAACGCACTTACAGTCTAAGGCAAGGTCTCCCAACCAGGGTTCCTCCAGAGGTTGCTGGGGGCTCCTTGAGCAATGAGCGATTTCTGCCTCTCAGATAGGGTCCCACTGACACCATTGATCTTTTTAGCTTTCTGTACAGGGGTAATTCATCCCAATGACCACAAGTATTAGGAACATTCTTCCCACTGACCATCATGTATCATGACTTGTAGATATAGTACTTTTAATCGGGTTCCCTGAGACTGGAAAGTTATTTCAAGGGATCCTCCATGTTAAAAAGTTTGAAAAAGGTAGGTCTAAGGTCTCAGTATCCCCCTTCACTTTTAGATTGCAAGCTCCACGAGCAGGGTCCTCCTAATCCTTCTGTATTGAATTATATTAGAAGTGTACTGTCTCCCTTTATATTGTAAAGCACTGCATAAACGCTTGATGCTACATAAATCCTATAAAACAATATTATCACATGCATACATACACATGTATGTATCAAAACCGTGGTGCGCAAAAACAAAACACAAAAGTCAACTAAAAAATTTGATGCCAACAAACATACCAAAAAAAAGTGAACTAAGGTGAGGCGTATGGTCTCCTACCAAAGAGAAAAGACCCTTCCCTGACATCCCCTTCCACCCCGGGGCTCAAGACTCCTAAGGCACACTCAGGTCCATCTAGCCAAAAGGCCTGGCGGACTCTGCTCATAATTGTCAGCCAAAGCTGGCCAACAAGTGCTAGGTGAGGGGCTCTCCTGAAGAGAGTCTCCCCAGGGCAGGGAAGGATGGAACCTAAGGGACACACTTCCTAGGGTTGCCACCTCATCTCTTTAACTGGTTCCAACCACTCTATAGCTGAAGGACAGCTACAGCGCGGTTGTATAATCCCTGGATGATGTTCATGGACGTCATTACAGGACACGCCCCAAGCGGCGCGCACCCAGCTCTGCCGGTGATTGCTGTGTCCTACGGACACAGATGATCACGTGTCATGTGGTATGGTAAATGGCCAATCACGGCGGCTTTTTACCACATGATCAGCTGTGTCCAATGACACAGCAATCACCAGGTAAATACAGTTGCCGGTTATCTGCTGCACTTTCCTCACGTTGTCACAGCGTGAGGAAAGTACTGCAGAGAACCGGCAATTGTCAGCGTAGGGATTGGCACTGATCATCAGGGCACTGATGATCAGTGCCCAGCAGTCCTGCCCTCCTGTGCCACCCACCTGTGCCCAGCAGTGCTGCCCTCCTGTACCCATCAGTGTCACCCACCTGTACCCATCAGCGCCACCTACCTCCATCAATGCCATCCACCTGTGCCCATCAGTAGTACCCACCTGTGCCACTCAGCAGTGCCACCCATCTGTGCCACCCACCTGTGCCACTCAGTGCCATCCACCTGTTCCACTCAGCAGTGCCACCCACCTGTGCCCAGCAGTGCTGCCCTCCTGTACCCATCAGTGTCACCCACCTGTACCCATCGTGCCACCTACCTCCATCAATGCCATCCACCTGTGCCCATCAGTAGCACCCACCTGTGCCACTCTGTGCCACCCACCTGTGCCACTCAGTGCCATCCACCTGTTCCACTCAGCAGTGCCACCCACCTGTGCCCTGCAGTGCCACTCACCTGTGCCCAGCAGTGCCACCTATCAGTGCTGCCCAGCAGTGCCGCCCACACGAACACACACACGAACACCCGATGTTCGAGTCAAACTTATGTTCGACTCGAACATCAGGAACATCTCTATTTTTCGGAACACAATGCTCAAAAGGTTGCCTAACCCTATTATAGTGTGCTTTTATTCACATAAATGATCTCCCTCTGAAAATGTTACAATTTATTTTCATACCTGAGCTCAGGAGAGAACATTTTCACACTGATACATTGTATACTTTTTACTTTCTGGCCAGTGCAGAGTTCCTCTAATTGTTATTGTTTATATTTCTAAAATACCGCCAGCAAACATCAGATGATAAATAACCAATGTGTGTGTTTTTTAACCACTTGCCTTCCTGAGGATTTACCCCCCTTCCTGACCAGGCCTTTTTTTTTTACTATTCGGCGCTGTACTATTTCAACTGATAATTGCGCAGTCATGCAATGCTGTATCCAAACAAAATTTATGTCCTTTCTTTCACTAAAATAGAAATTTCTTTCAATGGTGCTTTTTATTTTTCAAGCTATAAACAAAAAAAGACTGAAAATTTTTAAAAAAGAATATATTTCTTCATTTCTGTCATAAAAAATATCCAAAAAACTCAAATTTTGTAATAAATTTAGGCCAAAATGTATTCTGCTACATGTCTTTGGTAAAAAAAAATCCCAATAAGTGTACAGTGGAACCTCAACTTACGAGTTTAATTCGTTCCGTGGCCGAGCTCGTAACTCAAAATGCTCGCTCGTTAAATCAATTTTCCCCATAAGAAATAATGGAAACGGCCGTAATCCGTTCCAACCCTCAAAATGGCACCTCATATTTTTCATTTTTCTTGTTATTTCATAAGGAAAAAAGCTTTTTACATAACTAATATTATATAAAAACAAAATAGAAAGAAAATATGAAGATATAATAAGGTTGTATACAATTTACTTACCTTGGAGATGATTTTTGTTTTCGCTTAATTCTCATCACTCTCTTCACTTTCACTAGTTCTTGGCCTTTTTGCCACACTTTGCTCACTTCGAGCTGAAGGCCTTTTCTTAAGAAACATGTCTAAGGAAGTCTGTTTCATTCTCCCTTTGAGAATGTTTCTGAAACGACGTAGGCACGTGTCGTTGAAAAGCTCTGTCGCACGACTCGTTGCAATTTTTTCAGGATGGTTCTTTTCAACAAAACCTGCCACCCTCTCCCACATTGCCAAAATATCCTTGAGGTCTTTTGTACTGATTATCTCTGACTCTGTCTCCTCTCCCTCCGAAGTAGCTTCAGTTAATGCTTCTGTGTGCCGTTGCTCTTGTAACTCCTTTAACTCGTCAGTCGTAAGTTCCTCGGAGTGCTCCTCAACGAGTTCCTCGATGTCTCTTTCATCCACCTCCAGACCTATAGTCCTGCCAATGGACACGATCTCTTCCGCCACTGGCTCCTCTTCTTCCTCAATCTCAAACCCTTCAAAATCTCTTTCAGCCACATTTTCAGGCCACAGCTTCTTCCAAGCAGAGGTCAAGGTCCCTTTCGTAACCCCCTGCCAGGCAATATCAATGATTTTGAGGCCTATTGCTATGTTAAAATGCTCCTTCCAAAACTCTCGAAGGGTGAGGTTTGTGTTCTCCGTCACCTCAAAGCAACAGCGAAACAGGTGCTTGATGTAGAGTTTCTTGAAATTTGATATTACCTGTTGGTCCATTGGCTGGAGGATAGGGGTGGTGTTTGGAGGAAGGTAGAGAACCTTCACAAAATTATACTCATCAAGTATTTCTTCCTCGATCTGTGGTGGATGTGCAGGAGCATTGTCGAGGACGAGAAGGGCTCCCAGGGGCAGGTTGTTGTTCTTCAAATATTTCTTCACCGAAGGACCAAACACAAGGTTTACCCAGTCGATAAAGAACTGCCTGGTGACCCACGCCTTAGGGTTTGCCCTCCACATAACATGGAGTTTCTCCTTTATTATCTTGTGTGCTTTAAAGGCTCTGGGGTTCTCCGAATGGTATACGAGTAGCGGCTTTATTTTGCAGTCGCCACTCGCATTGGCACACAGGCGAGGGTCAACCTATCCTTCATAGGTTTGTGTCCTGGCATCCTCTTCTCCTCTTCGGTGATGTATGTTCTCCTCGGCATCTTCTTCCAGAACAGCCCTGTCTCGTCACAGTTGAAGATTTGCTGGGGGATGTATCCTTCTTCTCGACGAATTCTGCGAAAGTTTTCACAAACTCCTCTGCTGCCTTTACATCAGCACTTGCTGCCTCACCATGCCTAACAACGGAGTGAATCCCCGTCCTTTTCTTAAAATTATCAAACCAGCCCCGACTGGCTTTAAAGGATTCCTCCTCCGTTGAAGTGCCTGGGGTTTGCTGTTGTAAATCTGAAAAAATACTGCGCGCCTTCTCGCAGATTATTCCCTCGGTGACGGTATCTCCGGCAAGTTGTTTTTCCGTCAGCCACACCAACAGCAGATTCTCCATCTTCTCATGCACATCTGTACGGCACTTTGAAATAATCTTGACACCTTTGGCTGGGTTAATTTTCTTTAGGGACTCCTTCTGCTTTAAGATGGTGCAGATCGTTGACGTTGTACGGTCGTAGTGCTTGGCCAGTTCCTTTACTCACATGCCTTGCTCATGCTTCTCAACGATTTCAAGCTTTATTTCGAGGGATATCATCCTCCTCTTCTCGGTACTACCACTTGCTTTCTTTGGTGCCATGGTTACAACAAAGTTAGAAGTTGGGATTTCAATCACGTGTAGACAGCGAGAGAGAGAGAAAGGCTCGGAGATGGGATGCTGTGACTCATACCCTCTGAACTGCGCGCACCTTGAAAATATACACTTAGAGCTGCGCACGCCTCGAACTCGTATCTTAAAATTCTGCTCGCGTGCCGAAGCAAAAAATCGTCCGAGCGACTGCTCGTATCTCGGAAAACTCGCACGTTAGTTCGCTCGTAGGTTGAGGTTCCACTGTATATTGATTGCTTTGTGTGAAAGTTATAGCGTCTACAAACTATGGTATAGATCCTGCAATTTACGCCATTTTTTTGCTATACAGCGCTGCACTAGTTTAACTGATAATTGCACGGTCATGCTATGCTGTACATAAATGAAATATATGTCCTTTCTTTCAGACAAATAGAGCTTTCTTTCTGTGGTATTTGATCACCTGTGTGCTTTTTATTT